AACTGACATTCTACAGTTCGAGTACGAGAGCCACCACCACAGTCAAGTGAGCACTGGAACATTAAAGCAAGCCACGATTTACAATTAAAATGAACTCTATGGTAATACAGACTTGGCTGTGTTCTACTGATACATAGTTCTATACAACATGTGAAACATTTTCTAACATGTAGCAGGTCTAAGGTAAAGATAAAGGGGTATGAAAGGTAAAGTTCTGGGAATGCAACAAGTCTAAGGTAAAGTTCTGGGAATGTGACAAGTCTAAGGTAAAGTTCCAGGAAAGAGACAGGTCCAAGATAAAAATATGTTTGTGTGTCAGATCTCAAGATCTAGGTGTGGCAAAAGATGAAACATTTGACAAACTAATATTTCACAACCTCCAACCCGGGCTCACCTAATGTTTTTTTATTCATTTAACTTTGATATGCATGGCCACTCATGAATTAAAACAGAATTTGCACCATGGACTGAAATGCCATACTGCACTTTTAAGCTACTGATTGGTCAGAACAAGCAGCAGTGCACAAGGAATTAAGGAAAAATTATTTTTTTTACACAAAAATATACCACCATGGGTTCTGCCATCCAAAATCTGAGTGACGATTTTCACATTTAAAATTTCAGCTTTATAAGCTTTTTTTTTTATATATTATAGATTTTTGAAAACTGGTATATGTTTCAGAACTGAATTTTTTTTTGAAAAAAAGATGTTTTTGGGAAAACATCTTAGTCTCTATGAGAACACACACCACCCAGGTATATACTGCACATTAGACTGGCGCAGTCGGGTGATTAATTTGTTTTTGTAGTTTAATTAAAATAAAAAAAAAAATCGCGAAATGGAGGTGTTAGAGCGAAATCCTCTAACTGCGAAATCACCCCGACTGGTTTATTCTGCATGGCCCTCTATCGACACTGCAGGAACCTGTAGATTTTTCAACGGGTAATTATGTTAGTGAGTGTTCTAATTGACAATCATCTAAAGCCAATCACAACGTCTCTTCAACTGACCTCTGACCGAGAAGACGTTGGCTGATTGTAGCAGCTGATTATTTTTAATTCTAAAACTAGTACGAGTTAATTTTTTTTTATACATTGTGATGAATTAGAAACTACAAACTGGAATTTCAACGTGCCGCCATGTTAGGTCTGCAGTGTGACCTTTACCAAGTTGACCTCATTATGCACGTATTTCCGTGCCCACCTCATTACAATATGTGCATCATGAATATTTAATAGCAATGAATTTCTTGCAGAATAAACCAGTCGGGGTGATTTCGCGCTAACACCTCCATTTCGCGTATTTATTATTTTATTTAAACTACAAAAACAAATGAATCTCCCAGACTGCGCCAGTCTAACTGCACATGAGCCATATTTAAATAAACAACAAAGGAATGCATACATCACTCCAGGCTCCAAGACTCCATGCATACAGAGGACAGGGTACAAATGTTTCATAGATGTAGAAGCCTTTGTCTTGAATATTGTCATTGCTGTGAAACGTAATAGCAACATCATTGCCACTTGTAGATGTCCATATTTGTGGTAAGTTTCCTCCACAAAGTTTTCTGTCTAGCGCAGAGTCACCCAAATCCTGAATCTGAAAAAACACAAGGAATTCTAGTTGCATAAATTTTATGGAATGGTCCCTTCAATTTTTCAAAAGTGAATCAAAAGGGTAAAAAACAAGCAGTCTGTCGGCTGAGATAGCAATGCACATTTCAATTAAGAACTGAAGATATTAGAAAATGAACAATATGTATCGTATCAAATCAGACTTGTGGTTTTAAACAAGAAGTCGAAAATATCACTTTTTACCAAAAATATTCCACCAAAAATAGAGAATTTGAGATTTTGACATAAAATTAACAAATCTGAGGAAGAACCATCCAAGGTACTTGCATATCAAATTTGAAAACATTCTGACTTGTGGTTTCGAAGACAAAGTTGAAATTGTAAAGTTGATGACAACGACGGACAATCAGTAATATGAACAGCTCCGCTCCGACAGCGGCGCTAAAAAACGATAAATTGAAAGTTATAAAATGATCTTTAAATCAAATATACAGGTATGCAAGTATATGGCAATTATATTAGTGATCGAGATACAACCAATTACCGAGTCACAAATATTTTTCTCCTGGTAATGATAAGTAATATTTAAACATAAAGATGATGAATAGTCCGAAGAAGAGAACGTCATAACACATTTTTTGTGCAAGAAAATTGTTATTCAAATGCGAGTGATACATGAATAAATTTTACAAATTAATAAATTAATTGGTAGCCAGCTATTCTCCTCTTAGTGTAACCACCAATCAGAATAATCATACACAAATGATCTTCCAAATAAAATAGTAAATGCTAATTTATGCAAATAAGTAACATTCTGGTATACATCAAAGAAGTTTACAATACTCACCATAAGGTAGTCATTATCACATGTGGGATGGGCTTCCAAATTAAAATCCAAAAATTGGAGAGAAATGCATCCTTGTGTGTTACTGACAGTGTAGACACAGTCTTGATTTGGTGGGTATGACAGAGGATAGTTTGTAGATTGAATAAACTGATAACCAGCTGTGAAAGATTCATCACAATCTGCAATGTGAAAACATAGCAAAACTTGATTCTACCAACAATGTGGTTCATATCATTGTAAACTCTTGCCAAAGCTTACAATATTTTGTGAAAAAAACCCACTCAATTGAAAAATTGTCTCCTAATACACCAGTGCAAGACCATTACAGTGCTTGTGACAACACACAATAGATTCCACCACTAAATTCACACATACAAGCTGGTCGAGTATACAATTATGGTACATATACAAGAAGTATATCTACTACTTCATACATACCAGGACATGGTTGTGTATTGCAGTCTTCAGTTTCAAATGGCTTTGGTCCAGTACAAAGATTATCCATAACAACAGCTCCTGAAGATATCAACTGACATTGTACAGTTCGTGTACGAGAGCCACCACCACAGTCAAGTGAGCACTGGAACATTAAAACAAGCCACGATTTACAATTAAAATAAACTCTATGGTAATACAGATCTGGCTGTATTCTACTGATTCATGGTTACATGTATTGCACAACATGTGAAACATTTTTTTTCATGTAACAGGTCCGAGGTAAAAATATGAGAGTGACAGGTCCAAGGTAAAGATCAAGGTGTGCGATAAGTCTAAGGTAATGTTCTGGAAGTGCGACAGGTCTGAGGTAAAAATCTGGAAGTGTGACAGGTCTAAGATCTAGGAGTCAGACAGGAGTAAGGTAAAACAAGCCATGCATAGCACAGTCCTTATTAGTTATTGAATTTAAGATTTATAGTTTTGTTTATAGTAATAAGCTGGAATATAAACATGTCAGGAATATGTTTAACATTAAAATGATTGACATTTGTATCTGATCGTCAAAGGAGTATTGAGAGATATTGCTCTGGAACAGCCTTAATTAAAACATAATCAGCCATTTTGAATACATGTATAATGAATATATAAAATTTGAACATAATCAGTCAAAGCATGTCAGAAATGGCTCTAGAAGCCATTAAAAACAAAGTGGCCGCAAGTCGGCCATTCTGAATCGTATCTAAAAAATACAAGCCATGTATGGCACAGTCCCTGTTAGTTATCAAATTTAAGATGTATAGTTTTGTTTATAGTAATATAGCTGGAATAAAACCATGTCAGGAATATGATTTTTTTAACATTAAAATGATTGACATTTACTTGTCCATATTGAGAGATATTGCTCTGGAACAGCACTAATTAAAACAAAATCAGCCATTTTTAATACATGTATATATCTATAACATGATGTATATCGAATATATAAAATTTGAATATAATCAGTCAAAGCATTTAGCCAATCAGCCATTTTGAATCCAATCTGAAAAATAAAATGACGTGCATCAGGAACCTGTAATGTCTAATGTACCAAGTTTGAACGAAATCCATCCATAAATGCCAGGAATGCTTGATATTTGATGATTTTTTTAGCACAAAAATGACCACCATTCGGCCATTTTTAATAGGATCGTCAAACCAATATATCTGTTTATCTATGACATGATGTATAATGAATATTAAAAATTTGAATATAATCAGTGAAAGCAAGTCAGAGACACGACACTAGAACCACATTCATTAAAACAAAATGGCCGCCAGTCGGCCATTTTGAATCTTATCTGAAAAACAAAATGATGTGCATCAAGGTCCTATAATGTCCAATGTATATATACAGAGTTTGAACAAAATCCATCTGTAAACAGCCGAGAAATGCTTGATTTTGATGATTTTCGGTACAAAAATGGCCGCCATTCAGCCATCTTGAATCAGATCGTGAAACAAATTGACGTACACATGTATAATATCATGTATGAATATGTGTGAAGTTTGATTGTGATTGGTCCAGGCATTTCTAAGACACAGGTTTGGATGCACGCACAGACTGAAGCATGGACGCACAGAGGTCAAAACATAAGTCCCTGTTTTCAGACTGCGTCCGAACGGGGACTAAATATATTTGTGTGTCAGATCTAAAAATCTAGGTGTGGCAAAAGATGAAAAATTTGACCAAATAATATTTCACAACAACCAACCCTGGTCACCTGAAGGGTTTTTTTTCTATTCATTTAACTTTTATATGCATGGCCACTCATGGATGAAAACAGAATTTTGCACACCATGGACTGAAATGCCATACTGCACTTTTACGCTTACTCCAAACTGAGCATGAAAACAATTTTGGGCTTACAGATAAAAAAAAAATCAAGTCATTTATTGGAAGTAAGGCGCAATTTGGGTGAAAATTTTCGTTTTCATAAGCCTTTATATATATATATTTTGAAAACTGGTAGACGTTTCATAATTTTTTTGTTAAAACAGCTTAGTCTATGAACACACACCACTCAGGCATATACTGCACATGACCCATATTTAAATAACAAAGGAATGCATACATCACTCCAGGCTCCAAGACTCCATGCATACAGAGGACAGGGTACAAATGTTTCATAGATGTAGAAGCCTTTGTCTTGAATATTGTCATTGCTGTGAAACGTAATAGCAACATCATTGCCACTTGTAGATGTCCATATTTGTGGTAAGTTTCCTCCACAAAGTTTTCTGTCTAGTGCAGAGTCACCCAAATCCTGAATCTGAAAAAACACAAAGAATTCTGGTTGCATAAATTGTATGGAATGGTCCCTTCAATCTTTCAACAGTAAATCACATTTTCAAAGGGAAAAAGAAACTATAAATAGAAAGTTATCAAATGATATTGTATCAGAAACATTAATTAAATGATATGCAACTATTAAGTAACATTCTGTTATACATAAAACAAGACATGAATGGCACAGTACCCGTTATTTGATTATAAAGTAGTACAAGGAACATCTGTAAACAGGTAAATAAATATGTACTCTTTGTGGGTACAACTCATCATAAAGTGATTTCCCATAATCTAGTTTTGTACTGACAACTAAAAACTTCCACTGACCCATGTTCAGAATCTCTGAGTACCAAGTGCAACAAAACTATTTGTCATACATGTATACTTGCTCAAGAAACTGCATTCATTAATCTGAGTGAACCTTGATGTACACGACTTCTTTGTTAAATCAGGTCTTAGTATGATACCAAGACCTGGGTTTGTTTCAACATCACCACTGGGCATCAGAATCATTTTCATGTTATCAAATACAATTTTGTTATTAACACAGCAAGGTTTATTATTTAAAATGTATTCATTCTACAAAGAACAACATCTGTTAATTGTTAAACAATTGTAGAAGCTATGTTTTCAGAGCAAGTACATGTAATTCGGGGGAGCATGTTCATTATTTTGCCAAAAGCACATCTACTCATTTCAAGGTGTGAACCCTACCACATATGAACTAAATTGGCCCAATGGTGGCTGGGATAAGAGCAAATAACTGCATTGATCTAATTTGCATATTTTGGGAGTGCGTGGTCATTATTGCCAAAAGCACATCTAATCATGCCAAGGTGTAATCATACCAAATATGAACGAAATCCGCTCAATGGTTGCTGAGATCAAAGGAAATAACTGGATTTAGCTAATTTGCATATTTTTCGGGTAGGGTGAGGTCATATTAATAATAACCTAAAAGAAGACTTCTGATGATAAGGAATCTATTTTGAAATAGGGTTCTGAGAAATTGGTTTTGAGTTTTGAAGCTTTGTGTTCTGAAAAGTATATACTACCAATCGGATACATTTGGTAAAACTTGTGAATCTGATATCAGAAATTCATGAATCTGAAATCAGAAATTCATGAATCTGAATTTAACAGAATCAATTATTCTGAGCATGCTCAGTGGCTCTGTCAGTGTAGTAGAGAGAGGTAATTTGGGATGAAAATCTTGAAAAAGACCCACTTAGGATTTTCAAAAATTGTGTGCATATATTACACAGACTTGTTCATCAACCTGCCAAGTTTCATTGACGTCTGCTGCAGAGTCCCTGAGAAAATGCGAGATATAACTTGCAGCAACTTGGAAATGAGAAAGAAAGTAAATCCAGTACTCCCCTTTCCGGCTTTGCCTGAACGGGGGACTAAAAAAGTTCAGTTGCTCACTCACCATGAGGTAGTCCTTTCACATGCAGAAAGTTTCTACATGAAATCATATGCAAATAATTAACTTCCTGTTATACATAAAAAAAAAAAAGTTCACAACACTCACCATAAGGTAGTCATTATCACATGTGGGATGGGCTTCCAAATTAAAATCCAAAAATTGGAGAGAAATGCATCCTTGTGTGTTACTGACAGTGTAGACACAGTCTTGATTAGGTGGATATGACAGAGGATAGTTTGTAGATTGAATAAACTGATTACCAACTGTGAAAGATGCATCACAACCTGCAAAGTGAAAACAGCAAAACTATAAATGCCTTGCCCATAAAAAAATCTATTAATATTTTTTTCACGACTTGTTTATCAGTCATTACATTATTGAAGCGTGGTGGTCGTCGTGTAGCGTCGCGTCGCGTCCTGTTCGATATGGGACTCAGTGATGTATACAACATAATTTATGATGTTAGCAAAGCATTAATATATATTCGGAGAAGGCACAAAAAAATATTCAATGAATGGTATTTTGGACTTCATGGTTTGAACGCAGTATAAAAGTCATTTTATGAGGTCTGATAAATAATAATTTTAAAATAATCATAGCTATCTAGATTAGATATGTCCCACACGTATTGTAGGTAAATGCAGTTCATGTCCCATCTTATTTCTGGAAATGATCCCACAAGGATATAACGAGGATACAACAAATTAGGCATGACTGACACATAACTGATCGATGCAACCCTGTACTACACCCGTTTTTTGTATAACGGAACGAAATGACAACGAAAAACATTTTACATTATGCAACTGTTTATTAAAGTGATAGGATTCTATTTCCATCACATAACACTTCTGCATCTAATGTAAAAGAAAAGTGTTTCATTGTGACGTCAATATCGAAAATACCAGGTGTTGGCGACGTAAAATACTCCATATAAAGGGGGGGGGGAGTCAAAAGTTCACCAACAAGTCGACAAGTTTCAGAATGAATGCAAATATAGCTTTGTGTAATCGTAACTTCCATTGTTTTCAGTGCGTGATGCATATGTACAAGGATATCCAAATACTTGAATGTGTATTCCTGCACCATCCAACCCGAGCATGTCAAACAAATCGACTACTGTAAAATCATTAATTTTTTTAGCTGGAATTAATTTTCGCTAAACAGACTTTTTTTTGACTCTTGTATGGAATTTATTTTCACTGATTTTTAACGAGTTGATTGTAAAATATCGAAAAAAAGGTATATTCACTGGATTTTATTTGTACCGAATCTTTCCTCCAGCGAAAATCAATTCAAGGCAAAAATAAAGTATTCTACAGTACTTTGTGAATTATATTTCATGGTTCAATTGTACTTTTTTGTTGCATAAATATTCTAGAACATCAGAATCAAGTCATACCTGGACAAGGCTGTGTATTACAAGGCTCAGAGGCAGCAGGTTGTGGACCACTACAGAAGCTGACTGGCATCTCGATACCATCCGATATTCTCTGGCACTGTACAAGACGCGTTCTCATCCCTCCACCACATTCCACATTACACTGCATTATTAAAAGACCAGAAATTTTATAGTGATGTTTTACCCATTTCTAGTGGCAAGGCACAATTCAATTGCACAAGAAACACAAATAGCAGTAACTTTAAATCCGTTGAATACTGGTGACATACTTTTCTATCATTTTCTCTTTTATATAGTAATTATCTACAGAAATTCATTTTGTAACAACTTTAATATTCATATAGTTAATGAACAACATACGCCTTAGATACATCCCTAAAAGTCGTACATTCTGGTACTTCTAAGGTGGTTGAATTAATTTTAAAAAAAATAAAAAAAGTTGTAATTGATGTTCAAATGCAGTTTAACATGGCCAAATTTACTCTGTGCTATTGAAAATTAATAATGCTGTAGGACAACTGCACTCCTTGAATTACCAGAATGAGCAAACTTTATGCAACGTACAAAAGCCCTACTACTAATTGATAGTGTCCTTCGAAACTAGCACGCTTTGGGGTAAAAGTGTTCCCATTTCGTCTGCATAGTGGGGTTATTTCACCGCAAAAATATTAGACAGCTCTTCAAAATGCAGAGAGAAAGAAATCACCCCCTCCCCCACTGTAGCCGCTAAACTCAAAACCAGTACATACCTCTTGCCAGTCACCTGGTACAAATGTATAAAGCGGGCATTCTATGAAGGTGACGTAAAGATGGTAACCTTGGTTTGTTATTGAACCATCTGAATGCAATAAAATCTCAACTTGTCCAGTTACCGATGAGAAGGTTCTTGACTCACTGCCACACATGGTGTCCGTCAATGCAGAGTTACCCATGTCTGTTATCTGAAATGTACGTGTGATGAACAATAAGATGCGTTTTAATGTCAGTCTTTTAATTGCTCAAGTTCTATATAGTGACACTTTAATCATTACTGGATTATGTACAAGTATCCATTCGAATTTCTGTAAGGGGATTTAAACCTCTCAATGCTATGTATAACCTAAATCGCACAGCATATTTGTATGTACCAAGTTCGAACAAAGTTCATCCGTAAATGCCAGAAATGCTTGATGATTTTTTAGCACAAAAATGGCCACCTTTAGGCCATTTTTAATAGGATTGTCAAACCAATATATCTGTATATCTATGACATGATGTATAATGAATATTTAAAAATTGAACATAATCAGTCACAGCAAGTATATAGCCGTAAAACCATATTTATTAAAATCTTATCTGAAAAAAAAAATCATGTGCATCAAGGTCCCATAATGTCCAATGTATATACCAAATTTGAACAAAATCCATCTGTAAACAGCCGAGAAAAGCTTAATTTTTCAGTACATAAATGGCTTTCATTCGGCCATCTTGAATTTGATCGTGAAACAAATTGATGTGCATATGTATAATGTCATGTATGTGCAAAGTTTGTTTGTGATTGGTCCAGGCATTTCTAAGATACAGGTCCGGATGCACGCACACACAGACGAACACACGGAGGTCAAAACACAAGTCCCTGTTTTCAACTAAAAAACAGGAACCTGACAAGTGCCGAATTAATATGTACAGAAATAATGCATTACTAACCATGAGATAATCAAAGTCACAAACTCCTTGCATACTTCCTGGTTGTATTTGTAGATTAAGGAAAGTAAGACGCACACACTGGCCTGTAGGAGCTAGTGCTGTTACAGTACAATCTATGTTGTTATCATAATTCAAACCTGCTAGATAGCCTGGTGATGAGACTATCTTTTCTGAAGTAACAACTTCATCACAACCTGAAATGAACAATATGCGATTTTTCATTCACTGCAAGAGCTTGCACATTGCATGAAACAAGTGAACCCAACGTCATAACTCAAAGTCGAAAGACCAATCTTTGACAGAAATATTGCATTCAGATATCCTTACGTCATCGAAATTGACCATCAAATGTGTACAGCACA